GATAAGCACTGAAGATGATGAAGATGAGACCACTGTGGAGTTGGAAGGGCAGGATGAAAACCAAGAAGGAGATTTTGAAGATGCGGATACCCAGGTAGGGTTTTTGTTTAAGACTGATTTATTTGTTTGTTTATTTATTTGGTTTTTTGAGAAGAGGTTTCTCTGTGTAGTCCTGGCTGTCCTGGAACTCACTCTGTAGACCAGGCTGGCCTTGAACTCACAGAGATCTGTCTGCCTCACCAGGTGGATTTATTTTTATTGTATGTGTCTCAGTGTTTTGCCTGCACATAAGTGTACTGTGTGCACACCTGGTTCCCCGAAGGCTGAAGCAGAGAAGTGGATCCTTTGGACCTAAGCAGCCATGTGGGTTCTGGGAACCAAATCCAGGTCCTCTGCAAGGACAGCCAGTGCTCTTCATTTATGAGATGTTTCTCTAGTTCCACCAAACAGGGTGCTTATTGATTTACTGGAAAATCCAGAGGATGGAAAAATTTATTAGTGTGTTATCTGGAATCTTTATTTTTGTTCAGGTAGAGCTCTTCTAGTTTATTCTCTCTCTCTCTCTCTCTCTCTCTCTCTCTCTTTTTTTTTTTTTTTTTTAAAGATAAGGTCCCTCTCTGTACCCCTGGCTGTCTTGGACCTGGCTTTGTAGACCAGGCTGGCCTCAAACTCACAGAGACCTGTTTTGTCTCTGACACCCTAGTGCTGGGATTAAAGGCGTGTGCCATCACTACCCAGCTAAGCTCTTCTAAAGATTTTGTGGTGTGTTCCTACCTTGATGAAGCATTGTTTTCTGTAGTTACTGTAGTAGATATGATCTGAACTGAGGATACATAATATATGAATGAGAATTTAGAACTTTGGGTTTAAAAGTAAGTGACATCATTCTTTTGGTGTTTTGGGTTTTTTCCTCCTCATTTTTGAAGTTTATAACAAATTATTTATTCATGCTGTATAGTATCTCATTTTGTTTATTTTTGAGAAAAGATCTCACTTGTGTTTTGTTTTTCTTTTTACCATATTTTACTATGTGTGTACATTGAAGAATTGAATTAACACAAAGGCTAATTAACATACTCATCATCCACATTGTTCTTTATGTGTAGTAAGAAGCAGTGAGAAAACAGGAACAAGGTTTATTCTATTAGAACAATCTTTTTCTTTTTTTTTTTTTTTAAGCAGAGTTTTACTATATAGTCCTGACTGTCCTTGAACTTGCTATGTAGACCAGGATGGCCTCAAAATCACAGAAATCCACCTGCTTCCCAAGTGCTGGGATTAAATGCACTTGCCACCACACCCAGCTCTCTTACCAAATTTCAAATATGAAATGTGTTACTAAATATTACCATACATGTTAGTTTTCTGGAACTTACTTAATCTTATGCCTCAAAGTTTGATATTTTGCCAAAAGCATTTTATATCTCTGTGTTCTGTACTTGTTGCCTACTAGTCATGTTTTCCTTCACAGATTCACCCCCAAAGTGAGACACAACTGCCGGTGCCGTTTGTGACATGACTGTGCTTTGTTTTTATAGGAGGGAGATACTGAAAGTGAGCCATATGATGATGAAGAATTTGAGGGTTATGAAGACAAACCAGATACCTCTTCTAGCAAAAACAAAGACCCA